TGTAGGAAATGCGAACACTAGCACAAAGATAAAGCCTTTTGTCAGTTGGTACTCCTTTCTCCATTTACTGCATATTTTTTGAACATGCAAGGAAGGAATCTGTACAAGGGCTAACTTCACAATACTACCTGTTCCAAGACTGACTTCAGTAGGCTGATGACAGGGTGCTAGGAATTGAGGCTGTAGGGTTGTTTTTTTTCTTTTTTCTTTTCTTTTTTTTCTCATGGACTGCTCTCCCGTAAGAGTACAGCAGTTTTTGCAACTGTTGGAGGTGTTTTGTTTTGTTTGTTTTTTTTTCTTATTTTATTGAGCTGTTCTGTGTTTTTCATGTTGCAGGAGTCCAGGAGAAAATGGGGATAATGAACAAAGGAGTGATTTATGGACTCTGGGATTATGAGGCTCAGAATGATGATGAGCTGTCAATGAAAGAAGGAGACTGCATGACAATCCTACGCCGGGAAGATGAAGATGAAATTGAGTGGTGGTGGGCACGGCTGAATGACAAGGAAGGCTATGTTCCCCGCAACCTGCTAGGGGTGAGTCCTTGATATTTGCAGTCAAAAAACCCCCACCCCACTAGCTGGAGCACACAGAGCATTATTCTCATGCATCTATGTTAGGTGCAATTTCAGAAGTCAAGAGGAAGGAGTTGTTCATTTGGGGCGTTGAATACCTTGGCAGAGTGGGTTAACACACTCTGTATAGATAATGCCAATTATATTAATGGACGTGTAGAAGAACAACATCTATCACCACCCTGCTATACGTAGCAAGTTGTAATACTAACCTTGTCTCATGATCTTAGAGGAAAAAAAAGAAACCCACAACTTTTATCTGAACGTGATTTGTGCATAAGATTTTAAGTGTATGAATAGAACTGGGTTTCCCCTCCTTTGTGCCAGTATATCGCTTCCTAAAGGGCCTTAAGAACTGAAACTTGTATGAAGAATGAGTCATGAGTCCTTCCCTGTCCAGGTGTATACAGTGCACCTCGTGGTCTGAGGTAGTTTTGCAGAGAGTAAAATGAACAAATGAACATTGCAACATTCTGTGGTTATCTTTTTTTTTTTTAGTGTTGAAAAAGAGATCACGTTGCCAAATAAAGGCAGTTCTTTATTTTCTCCTAATGCTCCTTAAGGAGTATTTATCTATGTCAAAGGCCTTAAAAGGTGACAAGGAAAGGAGAGGCCATTCATTTGTTACCTGTTTTATTAAAAACAACTGCATATAAATAATAGACACTTTCAATGATGTCCCTATATTTCTCCTCATGGCTGAGTTGCTAGAAAACTATAGCAGATGGACACATGTACAAAAATTCCATTAAGATTTTTTCTACATATCCAGTTTCCCTGCTGCTAGGAAAAAAGAGGTTCTGCCAATGCTAAAGATTAACTGCTGTGAATTTTAGTTGATTGATATATGATGCTTGAAAGAGGCTGAACCTCCTTCCTCATACAGATAATCCTTACTCTTAAAGTGGTTAGATTTTGCAGAGCAACTATATCTAACGCAAAGTCAGTTTTAATTTCTGTATCACTTTCAGATCAGGCCTACCTACGATGTACTGTACCATTCTCCCTAACGTAGTACTTCTGCTCAGTGTTTTTCCCTTCCAAATGTAAACACTAAATTGAGAGCAGCCATCAGACCTGCACAGTTAAGGTCAGAAGTGGCAGTTTCCTCCCCCAGGCCCCAAGGTGAATTGTGCATGTGCCACTTTTTCATAAGCTTGTGCACTCGCAGCCTGAGCACAGGTGTGTAAGAACATGAGGAGCATCTGTGCTTCTGTAATAAAGAGCACAAGGCAACACAGCTTAGACTGGGGATCACAGCTAATCCTTCTCAGCACAACACAATCCGAACAACAGAACCTTTGGGGAAAACTACCAAAGCCCAGAATTAACTGTTACGCTCTTGTGTTTGTTCAGTTGTTCTGGTGCTGCTACCAAAGTATTCTGGCATTATTCTTGATAGTAACTACTGAAATCTAAGCTAAGATGTTTGGTAGTTTAATATATTCTTATATTAAGTTGTATTTCTGTCACAGCTGCTTTATCCTTTTGCAGTTAGGTGCATTGAATAAAAACAAGGATGAAATTACCTGCATTGGTACTCTACCCTTCTTAGTGACTCACTAGTTCCCTAAGCCGTGTGAGAGCTCTAAAACTGAATGCAAATAAGATAATACTGTCAAAATATGGACTACTTAATACCAAACGAAATCTTTTGAATGCTGTCAGGTGTTATGTTGCTGTAACTGACTGACTTCATCTCTGCTAGTGGTGAAATCATAGCAGGCTGAGACAAACCTTGTGGGTGAAGTTGTTGGTCTTCTCTTAATCTCTTAAAAGCTAACTATGAAAAAGAAGAAAGCTAGAGTCTGGTTGAAGAGAAAAGAGGGCATCTTTAAGGAAAACTTTAGCTGAAAAAACCCAGGATGTAATGTACACAGGCACTGCTGTTCAAAGCATGGAGGATTCATCTTTCCTAAATGTATGAAGTGTACACTTTTATTTTTATATGCCAGTAGCCATGCTTTGCAGAACAGTAGTTATTCCCAAAGCCTTCTGCAAGTGGGAGCCAAGAGCTCCCCAAACATCTTAGTGCTGCTGTGTGCGTTGTTGAGCTGTGTCCCATCCATCATCACCCTGAGGCTGACGCAGTCTCTGTACCTCTGTGTGCAGAGCCAGAATGTGAGAATAGCACATAGCTCAAGGGCCACAGGGTGGCAGCTACTGATTTACTGCTGGGTGGTTAAATGAATTTAACTGGCCACCCACTGTCCACTAAGGCACAGTTCTATGGTCCTTATGCAGCCAGCTGTTTCCAGCTTGCCCAGAGCTATAGCTGTGTAAAGGCAGATAGGCACTGAGAGAGAGAAAGCAAAACAGACTTTAATACCTCTCTCCTTCATTTATAAAACAGGGAAAAATCCTATAGTTCACTGAACACAAAAGTCTCTTGACTTACAAAGCCACAAGCTTTTCCTTAGTCCCCTCATTTGGGTAGTGCTGAAGGTACTCAGTTATATGCTCTTCAATACCTTCCTTCTGTACTGACATGGTTAGTATTTTTTAAGCTTGCCTAAGAATGCTAAATTTATAGTTGTTAGTGCTCTGGGTGTTTTCTTTATAACCATGCTTTTGCTACTAGAGATTACACTAGAATTGTAGCACCAAAGAGGTTTTTCTTTCCCTCTTTTTTTTTTTCTTTAAAAAAAATAGTAGTAGCCTTTTAAAGCACTAAAATTTTAAATCTCATTTCTATTTTACCCTCAGCTGTATCCAAGGATTAAACCTAGACAAAGAAGCTTGGCATGAAATAGTACAGAAGCCAGATTCTTGAAGTACTAATAATGGATGACTTACAAAAAAAGTTCATTTTGTGTTGGTTCTAATATCATGAGACTTATTTCAATGACAATGTAATTTGAAAGCTCTGAAGAATGTGCTTTGAAAACAAATGAAGGATTGATGCATTAGCAAATGGATGAGGGCATTCTACAAGAGGAAATAATGCTTACAAGCAAATGAAATTCTGCTGCCTTTGGTCTGAGCAAGCCATTATGTTCAAGTACCCACTCTGATTTCTTCAAACATGGCAGAAAAGAATTTCCCATTTTTCTGCATTAAATACAAGGACCTTTTTCAATTTACCATTGAAAGAATCATCGTGAAACAGACAACTTGGCTCTGTCTGAATTTATCCTGAGGCTTCTTCCAGATGGGAGAAATTAAAATAAAGTACATGCACAGCACCCAAATGTGATTGCTGGAAGGTGAACATTTGTTAAAGAAGCTAACCTGAAGTGCATCGGAACAGTGACAACCATGTGACCGACCAATCCATTAAGCAATAACTTTTAAAAATGCTGTAGCATCTTAGGAATTCCATGTATTCAAAATATTACATACTCTAACAGACAATGTAGTTTTAGAGTCCTCTTTTTATGAAGTCTTATGTATTTATTGTATTTTGTACTTTGAAAACTAAGTGTAGACACTTTCTGTAGTCCTTTACAACTCACTTGTTTTTACTTGACTGTGAAACCATTAAACTTTTGTCTCCTCTTAAGCCTTACCTCTAGATGAGTTAGTGTGAAGTTCTTACTAGACCATCTGAAAATATTACCAGTAAGACACACTGCTGTTCTACGTGATGTGAACACTCAACTACTTTCTGTATTAAATTGAACCCCTCCTCCCACCTTCATTCAAGACAGTCTTTCTGCATTTAAAATTAAGCCCGATTGGTTAGTTGCATATAATATTTGTTAACCTTAAAAGCTGAGGGACATACTTAAGAAAAAAAAAACCTGGGTACAAGTGTTTTCCAAATAAAGCCCTTCCCATGGAGTTATCCTTTATATATGTCTCTTTGGGAATAATCACTTGATAATGAACACTATTAAATAGAGGGGATCAAGTATTTCTTTAAAAGTATTTATGAAGTGCCTCACTGCCTCACCTATGTTTTCCTACTAGGTAAGTCTTTACTGCCAAGAGCCTCCTGCTACAGGCACAGCAATGGTCACGATGGAAGGACTTGTCCTGCGCTTCGGTCAAACATGTAGTTGCTACTCAAAGTCTTCAACAAACATTTAACCAGCATAAAGCTAGGGCTTGACAAAGCATACAAGGGACCCATATCTCACCTCAACACCTGTATTGAGGGATATGCAATACCATCTCTTTTCCATTTCAGATACACAGGCTCGAATGAAGCTGTTATTCAAAAAGCACTCATTAAACCAGACTGTCAAGCTATAATGAGCTTTCTTCCAGGAGTCACGTAAAACTTCTTAAATACAAAGATATTATTAGTAAAGCAGTATTCTCAAAAGCTGCACTGAGGATATATAGCAGTAGATAAAGACTGTCAGACCCATAAACATGAGGTTGCAGATTCTTCTGTTGTTGAAGTAGAATGTTTTCCTTATAACTGTGTGCAAAATTTGCCATGTGTAAGTTAAGGCACATTCATGTTTAGAATATCACTTGTATGTTTGCTTGATTATCTTCACCTGATCTTGCTCTTTTTGAGGTCTCTGAGCTGATGATGTCAGGGGCTCAAATGACAGTAAAGCACAGCCACTATAAAAACAGAGGAGAACGGCCCAAGGTTAAGTTTAGTAAAAATACCTGGAGCAAGTATGCATGTTCCCATTTCTGTCATGAGGAAGAAAGCCTATTGTTACAGAAGTAATTTCAGGATCTTTCCTAAATGGTTTAAATTGTGCTGTCATTTAAGTCAGAGGAGTTTTGGGATGATTTGCACATTCCTCATGTGGGTCTAAAAATAAGTTATGTTCATAATAAGCAAGTTGAACACATGTAGGAGGGTAGTTTTCTCCTAACTTAGTCCTTTCTCCAGGGCAGACATGGTCAGTGCTCCACCTGCATTTTGCCCTGTTGTTGACAGGAAAGGCAAGGAAGAAGCCTGCGTACGTATTGGCCAAAATTACTGCCGGTAAGCGGCATCGGGTTCAAGGAACCTGGCCTGTGTGTTAGAGAACACAAAACGATGTAGGTACATCTTTGAAAAGGGCAACCTTTCTCATGACTGCTTACAACTACACAAGCTGTATAAATCCAGCATATCTGTGACTATGTACAACCAGCCATAATCTGTCGGAAGGGAGCAGGACAGTCTCTACCGTTAACCCCTTCCTCCCCCACCCCAGAAAGAAGACAGTGGTTTAGAGCTAAATGAACTTACATTAATGAGGTTCAATTCTATTGTTCCAGTTTTCTCAGTATCCAGTTTCCTAAACATTTCTGTGGTAACAGAGAGATGATAGACAAGGATGAATACAGGAACTAACTGGAAAGTCTTCCTCTTCCTTGTTCTTCAGGATCAAAAAGGAATTTAGTTCCAAATTCTAAAATATATGACAACAGTTCACACCCCAAACCAGAAAGGGCCACCCTGAAGTCATTGCATGCTCACATGCAAGAACAAGACTGAACTTTTTTTAATGGTTCAGTCTGTAATATTAACACTATTTGACAATCTGTAAGTGTTTAGACTGATTTTTTGGTTTTAAATCAACATTTTGTTGTTTGCATAAAGGACTGCCTGACTCTGATTCAGCAGCCTGGCCTAAAAGGCCGATTCCTCAATCTAGGAGGAGTGTGCAGACTGGGTTGCTGGATTTATAGCTCAGCTTTGAAGTTCCTTTGATTCCAGTACAGAGTTTGCTGACTAATTATCCTAGACTTGAAAACACAGAGCAACCGAGTCTGTCTGGGGATTAAGCGTGTACTCACTGAACAAGGTTTCCAGCCGAATCAAACACCGGACAAAGTTATCAAAGTCAACAATGAGGTCTTCATCAGCAAAACGAGCCACAATGATCTGATGTAACTGGCAGTTCAATTTGAACCCTGAAAATACAAAGTCAAGGATTCAGTAGAGAAGAGGAAGAAAAAAAAAAAAAAATGCAAAAAGCTCCAACGAACAAAAACCCCAACCGTATACAATGCCAGAAATTCAATTAGCTACTTTTTGTTAAATTCTCAAATTTTAAGAGTTATTTAACTCCATTTTGGAAACTCCCAACACCCCCTTCTCTACTTGGAGTGCTTTAGAGCTGTGACTAGGTCACGTGTGTTCTTCCTGCTGGGTGTCCTCCCACTCCTAAACTCCTGTTTCCAGGGGACGTGGCCAATTGCTCCAGCTCATGGTCCTTCCCTGGGTGACAAGGGGGCTGCCAGACTTGGCCCACTCAGACCTGAGATGAAGCAGTGGCTTTCTATGGGCAAATGGGTCTCTATTTCCAAAGTGTATCTAAGCTTTGGGACAAAAAAGAAATGCTGCCTCATCTTACATGGGGAGAGGAGGGGAAAGCTCCAGAGAGCCCAAATACAGACTTTCAGATGGCCCCAGAACATCAGTAAGTTAATTTGGGATGGTATGGCTCTGTGATAACCCCCTCCCTCATTGTTGTAACTCAGATTTGCTTTTGAGTGGTTGCAGTAGCAAACTGACTCTTGTAATGCTCTTGTGAGTGTCACCCCCTGGTCAAGCCACTTTTATTCCCTAGGTCACGGTACCCTGGTTTTACCTGCTTATGCCAAACCCACATATACCCAGAGAGACTCATCGAAAGACGCTGGTATGCTGTTGTGAGACCAGATTGTTACAGTTATCTGTGCTTCTCCAAAAGCTGCTCACTAAAAAAAATAAATAGCTGCAAACCTGTCACTCCTTTGAGAAGCTGTTAGTGTGCCTGTGTGGCAAGACACTGCTACTCAAAGAGAAGAGCCCAGGCTGAGCATCTACGTTAAATGGAGGCTTTCAGGTCTGACAACACAGGATTTTTCAGCTTACAAGTGATATACAGGAGACTAGTGAACATCTATCAACACAGCTTGAAACTGATAAAAATCCTAAAACGAGACAGACCAATGTAAATACCTGCTGTTTCCAGCGCTCTCCTCATCTCATATGAATTCATGGTACCGGATCGATCCACATCAATTTCCCTGTAAATTTTCTACAGAACGCAAAACCCAAAGTTAAAACCTGTCAATAATTCAGAGCATGTTTTGCCTTTTGTCAGAAGTCAAACGTTTTGAAATGCAGCCTACGTGTTACTTAGGAGATTTGCAATGTTGGTCTGGAGGACTAGGTACTTATCTCCACATTTATCTAAAAGCAGCTTTAGACATTAAGTCATTTTAATGCAGCAGCCAGAGCGGATAAAGACTCAGCAGAATTCCTTGAATGCCCAGGCAAAATGGCACTATCACTACCAAAGCAGCAAGACTGACACCAAACTCACACTGACAAGTGTGAGGGCTAAACATATTTGGACACGAGTTAAAACAAGACCAAAAGCCCTCTGAGAGCAAGGCATGAAGAGAGGCAGCTTCTCCTTCAGCCCTTCACCCCAGTGCCTGAAGGACAAGCAGTCACACCCCTGGACACCACGGGACAAAACCTAGGGGACTAAGGACACAAATGCATTTTGAGCTGAAGTGAGAGTCCCTGCTTTGGGAAGTGTGGCTGTACACATTGCATGAGGCAAGTCAGGCTACAGCCACCTCCACGTTTTATTGCATGTTCTCCCAGAAAGGTTGCATCTTACCTGGTATTTCTGAATCTTTGTCCAGAGGGTGTGGAACTCCTTCAGTCCCAGTTTACCACTCCCGTCATTCTTCTTTGAGTTAAGGGAATCTCTTTGGAGGGAAGGAAAAGGGGTTTCCCCTCCCTGTGCTGGGTTTACTCACATGGGCAGTTGTGACTTAATACTTAAAAAAATTGCAATTAAGAAAAGGGTGCAAATCCTCTCTGAAGGACTCATGCTGTTAAATACACAACTGTTGTGCAAGATGTCTTTCTAAATCAGTAAGATGATTCATTCATTTAAACTGCGATCAGCTCACAAGATCTTTCTGCTCCTCCTTTGGCAGCTCTCTATCTTTTCAATACATGTACAAAACAGCCAAGATGATGCCATTTTGTTCTGTGTAGCTGGTTCAACCCCTGCAGTTACAGGAGCATGAGTCCTAAGTCTAGATTATAAACAGGAAAAGCCACAACCAAGCCTGCTATTTGGAGAATTTAAATTCTCACACAAACAGCTAACAAAAGAACCTGGTCATGGCATCACTCCCAAAAACTGCTAAGGAGTCACCAAGGACTGGTGCATTTTACACCAAATTATAGCAGAGCGTTGTTTTGCTTTGGCAATTTTCTCTTTTTCTAACTATGCAATTCAACTCCCACTGCATGGAGAAACTGAACATAACTATTCTTAGATTTGATCCTTCATCCTACATTTTTGCCCTTATTCTTAGGAGTAAAGGCTCCTAAAATGCAGCATACTCTCTGCTCCCTGTATTTGTTTCCCTCATTTTCTATTTGCTAAGTCCTCATGGCTTTACAATGCCCTTACCAACTCCAGCCAGGTAACAGAGCAGTGAAGTGCACGTTCAAACTGTACAGCCAAGGCTATCCACACCATGCTGACAGCCAGGTGCCTTTTCCCAGCAGAAACACACTTTGTCACCAGTTAAGCCAGAACACGCAGCAGCTGGGAGGGCTTCAAAGCAGATTGTCCTGTCTGATAAAGGATTTTCCCCGCTGCCCGGGATAATGCATATGCCACATGTCAGCAGTAATAGCAAGGGCTACCATTTTTATTCAGGGGAACCAGGGTAACACCAGCTTCTCCACCTCAGGAGTCATTAGTACATCAATATGGACCTAGCACTGCAAAGGCAGCTCACCTACTTTAGCACAGGCAGAAGAATATCATCTAGGAACAGCCGTAAAGGATACATCTAACAGGTCAACCATTATTTTGCACGTCTCAATACTAAAGCCATCAGATTTAATATCTTGGCCTGTAAAGAAACAGCAAAAGACAGGATTATCATTGCATGCTGTACCACAGCACCTTCTCAAACAGCTCAGGAGCTCTGTAACCAGTGTATACACATCAGCCCTTATTTGCTTCTGTGTCATCAGAGGTTTCCTTTGCAACTGACAAAGAGGCTTAGGGTCAAAGTTACCATGATGCTTCCCCAAGCAAACAGCCCAGTTAATCTAGTTTGTAGGTGTGCTAACAGAAGCAAGAGACAGAGAGAGAAAGCTTTCCTGCCCTTATTGTATGCCTGCAAAGACAAGGGCCCACTTTTGTGGACAATGTGGACTTCTGACCCAGGGAGGTCAGTGGTAAGTAGCTGTATGCCAGGAAAGAACATCAAATCAAGCCTGGTAACGAGCAATAGGCCATTGCTAACTGGCTGGTGCACACAGATGTATGACAGAGTCCTGGCTACCTGGCTAAGATTTCACTCTGGAAATTAAAGAGACAGTAACTTCTTGAGCGCTGTTTAATGGAAAGGAAAATAATGCAGAGCCAAGCTCTGAATCACTTAACAGAAAACAGCCCAGAGTTTCAAAGTTTCTCCTCCGTCTCCTCAGGGACACCCCAGACCATTGGCTGGGCTCTGTTTGAATCCTGAATAGTTCAATACTAAAGTAGCAGCAAAACCTCCTCTCGATTACTATTCGGCATTAAATCAAATCTGTCCATCTTCCTGGCAGCCAATTCTCAGGAGCAGATGCTGGGATAAAAGGCCCCCATATGCACCTTGCCAAAGCACATGTCCCGTGAAACACACCTTCAGTGCAGGCACAGCCCCAGCGTTTCTACAGCCCTCTGAAGAAGCAGAAATAGCACGTTGCCGTGGCCCTACAGAGACCCAAGCTGCAGGTCTGAGGCAGAGCCCAGGGCTTTGACTCTGCCTAGGGCAGTGGTGTGCTCTGTGCTCTCACAGCCACACTAAAAACCTGCTGGTGGCCAACCCTTGGAGGAAGGTACTTACGTTTTGCTATGACTTTATTCAAGATGTTGCGCAGTTCAAAGGCGGAGATCTCTGTATCCTGCAGAAAAGAGGAGAACAAGTTTTTCACAGTGAGCTGCAGACACCGTCTCATAAGCAGCCTCTGACTCCTTTGGGTGAATTGGCCAAATTCAAACATCCCTTGGAGTTCGCTTCCCTTGGATGGAAACACAAGTGGTAAGCTCTCCCCACCTCCCATTCCCAAGAGCACCACCAATTCCCAGGCATTAGCACACAGGGCTGTGGGTCTGCCCGGGCGGTTGACAGCAGCCTGGGGAGAAGGCCCAGCCCAGCCCTCATCATCTCACAGAGGGACCTATGCACCTGCACCAAATGCTCTGCCCAAAGGACAGAATTAGGGACCTGCAGAGATAAAAGTCGAGCCCGCAGTTCAAAGAGAGCAAAGACTGCTCGCCAGGAGCACTCACAAATCCATTGTGTAAGCAGACGGGTAACTACACAGATTTTTCCACGCACAATTATGCACATGCTTGAGATCTGACTCAGCACAAGAATGAAACTCCATCCTGGGGGAGCCGTCTCTCTTACCCACTCACCCGTGCTACCAGCAAGATGTTAACAGAGAAATACTCACGCTTCCCGCTAGCTGTCCAAAAAGCTTTTTAAAGCTGGGTTCAATGTCATCTTCACTGACCTCAGTCTAGAAGAGAGAAACAGAATATGGAAAGGAGGAAATTTTCTGCCTGAGAACTTCTTAATGCGTTTCCTTGACCATAGTAAACCACAATTTAAATGGCAAAGTTAAAGGTACAGAGTGCTTTTACATTGATTTTAATCAGTTTTATTCTCAGGGGTGCCTCAAAGTGCTGGCATTGCAAACACTGCAGGAACTAAGAACTTCTGCAATGGCTTATACTACAAAAAATAAAATTTAAAAGTCTTTATCTTATTTTAAAAAGCACTATCAATTCAGACCTTCACTGCTTCTGCTGTTATTTGAGTGTTGGACTAGCTGTCTTCATTTAAAGAAAAGCAAGCAAAACGTAAATTCTCATCTTGCAAAAAAAAAAAAAAAAAAAAAAAAAAAAAAAAAAAAAAAAAGAGTCATACAGAGGGGTAGATGCATCAGCAGACAAAACACCCCCAGCTCCAGCAAGACTAAACATATGGCGAGCCATTACTTACTTATGGAAACATCATCACGTGCAAAAACCCCACTCCTGTGGCTAAAGGGCTGCACTCCTGGAGAGCAAAGGGAATGTCCTGTGGCTCCAGCTACCTGTGCAGAGTACCTCGTCTCCTCTAATTGGGCAGCCCCCGCTCACCACTCTGGACAAAGGACAACACGTGTTTCCATTATTGCTTACGATGTTTCCATTTGCTGGACATTCAACTAGGGATATTGAAGGAGATCCAAAGGGGGACAACAGTTCTTGAGAGTGCTGAGAAAGAAACGCTGCCCTGCACAGGGAACAGGCGCTCCAATCCTACTTATTTATGACAAAATTATCTCAATTTAAAACATTTAAGTTAAGATATACCTCTTCAAAATTGGCCTCAATTTCATCATCTATAACCCTAGAAAGATAAAAAAATCAATATTAAAACCAAAACAAGTCACTTTTCTGATACCCTTCCTTCAAGCTTCAGTTAAAGAAAGATTCTTTAAATTACAGGAATAATGATGAGTGTTCAGAAGTTACTGGGTTAATCAGCCACAGACACTGCATACCACCAGTGAAAGCAGTATTTTGCCAGCTATGGCAACAAGAGCTTCAAAACACATTAGAAACTGTGCAATGCCCTGCAGAGCCACAGACAGGATTTTGAGTCAGACATAACCTTTTGGGTCACTTTGTGCCACTGCCTACAGACCTCAGCCCAGGACCAAGCTCTCAGGTGCAAATCAAGCTTTATCTAGTCACACTTTTTTTCCCCCTCCTTTTTTTCCCTTTAAAACAACAAAAAGTGAGAGCTTTAAAGTCATTTGGATGTGCCAGAGTGGAAGGAGAAGTGTTTCACGGTGTCCCCCAGCTGCTGTGGGAGCATCACACCTACAGACGGTGCATAAGTGTTGCTAAAGGCCCATCAAAAACTGAATGTACCTTCACACAACTGACATCCCAGTTTTCTCACAGCTACAGAATGACACAATGAAAGATTACAGAATAGTAGAAAGGTTTTTGCTTACTTTGAATTAGGGAACTCAATTCCTAAGGCCTCAGCCCAGCTGCTCTTTAAGATGCAACATGTCTAAATCTTTCCACAGCTTCACAGGTAATGGTATGGTTTGAGCCGGTTCCATTAAAACCCATTTTAATTTTATCAAATGTATCATTTGGTTGAGCAAGTATCTTGAATTTTTTTCCAGCCTGATCTCAAAGGTGTGAGACAATTTGTTGCGACCAGGGTGCTCCCAGACAGCCGAAAGCACACATGTTTCTGTCTCCCAAGTGGAGACCCAGCCTGCCGCCCTCTGGGGCTTTCTCCTCTCCACAGACCAACCTGTGCTGTGGCACCCAGCTGCCTACTGCCCAGTAACTAAAAATGTCTGCCCAGTATGGGCTGCTGGTGGTAATATAATAATAATAATCAACAACTTTTTTTTTTTTTCTTCCACCATTCCTTCCTGCTAACTTTACTCAAACTTTCCTCCATCGCACATGGGGAGACTGGGGATGAATGAGAACTGCCACAACTCCATCCGCAAAGGGGAGTTGCACATCCCCCCTTCCCACTCCCTGTGGGAAGCCGATGTTCCCCAGGCCTGGGCTGCTCCATCCTTCCATGCCTGCGAGAGGCACCAGAGATCACCCACGTGCCCAGACCACTCTTGCACGGTTACAAAAAAACCTACATACGTGGAGTTTGCATTTTTTTCTGAGAAGACTCGCAGACAGAAATCCCCATTCTTGTTGGGTTCAAAGGTCGAGGGCACGATGATATATTCTCCTGCAGGGAGCTTGAACCGGTTCAATCTCGGAGGTTGATAAAGGTGTTTGACTTCTCTCTTGCTTTGTTGGTCAGGAAAAAGTTTTTGCTCAGATGAACATTTGTCTGGCCAGAAAACTTACGAAAGGCAAAGAAAGAGAAAAAAATCCCAGTTTGCATGTATTTGCATTCACAAATTAAAAGTGTAATGGATATGACAATTAGTTTTGTATGGAGGGAAGGAAAAAAAAAAAGAAAAAAAAAAAAGAGACACCCCTTCAACAGAACTGAAAGGGGGTGGGTGCATCGCACCACACTACTCCTGAGTGCGGCTGCAAACACAGTCTGCAGATCATCTCAATAAACCATCCGGGTCATGCTTACGTTTTGCAGATGATGAACAGTGTGTAAAGACTTTGGCAAACTCTTCCACCAACTATTCTTTAACCTGAGACGGCTTACAACCCATGTCCCTCTGGTCCCCAGAGCTGGTGCCACCAGGAGGCTGCAGCTCAGAGCTCTGCCTTTGAGGTCAGGCTGCTTTAAAGCAGAGGGCCCGCTTATGGAGGGCTCTAAGAATAAAATAAACTTTATGCATTACAAAAGCATATTTGGAGTGTAACATCTCCCACAACAAACTTTTCTGCGCAGAGTCTTACAGGTGGCCTGTCTCAGCATTAGAAGCAATCATCAGGAATGTGCATGATTCAGAAACCTCCCCCTTCCCATCCTCCCAAATTTTTAAGAATGCAAAACCTGTCAGACCTGCTACCATGTTGGGAAATAAAATTCCACCTTTTGGCAAAAAGAAAAGTCACGGGACTATAGCTAGAGTCTTTTTTATGGAAATCAGGTTTTTGGACCACTGGGGTAAGAGCTGAGCGGCTGACAGAGTACTGCTAGGTCATTCAAAAGGTACTTATGAAATTTAATTAACTGGTATCACCATTTCCTTTCCTGATGAAACCACGTTTCACATAGCAGCAGCTGGTTAGAGCATAGCCTCAGGAGCCACAAGGTGCCCCAGCTGCTTTGCATGCATCCTCACAGGTACAGCAAGCCCTGGAATGAAGTTACCTGGGCACTTTGCTCAACCTCACTCCTTCCTCTGAGGAGCAACAGCTCAGAGGCATATGCCTGCAGGTGCATAGACATTGCTGCATTGCCACCCCTCTCTGATCCCCAGGGCATGCTATTAGCTACCCACAGTTAGAATCTGGGAGAAACCAATGAAGATGCTGCTCAGGGAAATGAAAATAAACATCTCCTTGGAATATTAGTTACATGTCAAACATGAACTCTGTGCAAACCTGAGAAAAGCAGCTGTGTTCTGGGGGAACAGATGTGGGTCTGGGCTGGGAGAAGACCCGTGGAAGAGCAGCTTTGGTGAGTTTCTGCAGCACAGAGATCTCTTAAAAAAGACGCTCTGAAAACACAACATGGGCTGAAGGTCCCTTCCAGAATAAATGACCTCTAGCTTTAGACTCTGCACAGCCAATATTGTCCTGCAGTGAAGGAGGATCTTCTGAACTGCTTCTTCCCACAAGCCATTCATCCCAAACATTGCACCTTGACCACCAATGCATGCTACATACCTCTGGGGGCACCTGCAAGGAGAAAAGAAGAGAATTATTTGCTTGTTGAAGGGCAGCTCCAGGGCTGCTACGTTTCACCGTTGGTTAGCAGGTACATCCACACTCTTGAAAAACAGACTCAGCTGCAGGGGGAAGGTGAACTCTGAGTCCACGTCACCCAACGCTGATGGCTGGCTCAGCTCCCAAATCCATCCTGGAGGCAGGTGAGGCTCACCCAGGGCAGCATGGGCACAGCTTGGCACAGACACAGCCAGGCTGGTTGTGGTTTCCTGCTAAGACCCTCTACCCTGTGGCCCACTGTGATATTTTTTTGTAGACTCGGATTCTTTACTGTTTCTTCCCACCTTCTCTTTCACCCCCTGACTGCTCCACCACCAGGAAAGGAGGCAGGGGCTGAGCAAGACAATAATGCTGTTTTCTGTTTTCTTAAAGGTTCAGGGGACCTAGCTTTGCTTTAAACCTCATCTGCCTATGGGGACCAGGTTCTCTGACAAGCTTTTCCAAAGCTGGGATATTGAGAAAGCAAGCAGTCGCACATATTGCCTACAGTTACAGAGCAACCCGCAAGCAAGACCATTAGTCCTATTTTCACCACCAGTTAAACACTGTTGCTTTGCAGCTCTGAACAAAGTGTCTTGCTGAAGGAGTCACCATAGACACATCTCCAACCCTTTGTTCAGCAGAAGGAGTTTTACAGGTGTTTTGGCTAGTTCTGCTGCTGGGTTCACGCTCCCCAAGCTAGGACAAGTGTCCCAGCTGCCATCTCATCCCTACCACGGCTGCTCATTCTGCTGCTTTCCACCACAGCCTGACAAGCGAAGGTCAGACTGGATTTTGGCACGTTTAATTTTGAGAGTTTTTTAAATACTCTTTCTGCTCCTCCATTCAAAAGCATAGAATATTACAGGTGAGAAGCAGCCTCTGCGGGCTACCTGGTCCAACCCCCTGCTCAAAGCCAGGCCAAGATCAGACGAGGCTGCTCAGGACCTTGTCTAGTCTAGGTTTGAATATGTCCAGGAATGCAGATTCCATCACTTCTCTGGGTCCCTGTCCCTGTGCTTGACCGCTGTTCTGGTGGATGATGATTTTCTAAACGTCTAAGTAGACTTCTCCTTGCTGCAGCTGGTGTCTAGCTCAACCCAGCTGAGTTTAGGTAGCAAGCCCTGTCTGAGAACTGGGCCCTGCACGACCTCATTCACTGGGCGAGATTTCCTTTTCCTCCCATGCACCTGTACTGCCTCACTTGCCTCATAAATTGCAAAGCCAATGGTATGCATGTCCTCTCCCATCTTCCTCTGCTTCCGCCGGTGCTTCTGAATCAGGCCAACGAGGAAAGTGCAGCCCCTCTCAGGATCCTCAGGATCCTCATCTTCTTCCTCCAGCTTGATTAAATACTGTGGATTCGTCCAGAAAGTATCTGGGAAGTGGATTTATGCAAACTGTTTAGAGGCTTCTTTGAAAGCAACCACACCGATACATACATGTCAGCTAGGACAGATGCAGCTCTGACTTCCAAAATCAGCTGTGAGAAGGAAAAACTAATACTCCCAGCTTTTACAACCACAACTAAACCCTCATCAGGGAGCCACATATCCCAAACACTTGCACTTTTTGGACTTCAGTCCTGGATATCCCAGGTACGTCCTCCTCCTCCATGGGCCACTCCAAACCAGCTCCCAGAATTGCCCACAGAAGTGGACAAGCACAAAGTGTTTCTCCATCACAGTGGTGACCATGTGCTCTTACTTGGGTAATTCCTGCAGCCCCCTGCAGTAGCTCCTCGCCTCCAGTTTCCGTCCAGCTTCAGCAGGCTCCACTTCTTGTACTTGTCACTTGCCAGGGTGTCTGGAGTCAGGTTGCAGATTTCCAAGCGGGAGTAATGTCTCAAGAAGTCATTGAACGCCATCCTGCAGGAGGCAATGCCACAGGCAATGTCTCCTTAGGATGCACAGGTTTTCTATACAACCACCTTGTCTATCCTCCTTCTCTCCCACTGCAGTTTGCCAGTAGGATTTGGGGTGAATTTGCTCACTCATCTTGGAGAATGTACTGGGAAAGGTTATTTTGTGTTAAAAAAAAAGCAGAGGAGAAGACATTCCCTTCATCCTGAATGGAAACCCAGTGCTACTTACCAAAATTCCCCGTCTTCATGCCTCCTGGTCAGCCGCTCCCGCACTTCAGGGTCAACGCCATTCCAGTTTGGGCAGCTGAAAGACAGCCCCACATCAACTATAGGTTACACTAAAGATTAAATCCTAATGTAGCTGGTTTGGCACAACAATTTCACTTTTTTACAGCTCCACGTGACTGCAATACTCTACAATATCTAGCTGATAGCAGCTCCAGGGTCTCAAACCACAGCAGAATTAAAATACAGAAATGGCTTTTTAAAGTCCTTTTAGAAAGTAAGTTTTCAAAAAAAAAACTGGGCCGTTAAAGAAGCAAAAACTACAGAGAGGCTTGTAGGAACCACCAACCAAGTGACTGCACCTTACATGATGGCAGGTGTTTGCATGAAGGCCACCGCATGCTGTGACGCCTACATTGGAGATGACAGCAGCGGGATGCTTCTTTCAAACAGCTCAGAGGGAACATCACATTCAAATGCGACTTAGAGAGGAATCTGAGGTAGGGAAAAGACTTGTGATAGCAGAAACATGATCATACCCCTGCAGTAAAAGCCTATGGGCAACACACAAACCATCGACTCACTTGTCGTTCCATTTTCCAGTCCACTCCACTTCCCCCCAGGGATTTCTGATTCTGATCAGCTTCTGCACCGTTCCTCGGAAGGTCACCTGATGGGATGAGAAGTGTATGGAGAGTTACCCAAGAACTCAGCCAGCACTGTGCTCCCTTTCACCTTTTCTATGTGAATTAAAGGATATGACAGCGTAAGTACCTCAGTGCTACACAAACACTAAAGTGTACATACACAAATGTGCGCTCATCTGGTCCAAAAGCCATGAATTCAAACCTGTTTTGAATGAGCTCCACGCACCAAACCTTGTCCAGAGAAGGTTTGTAGCATGCAGAAATCAAAGCTCCGGATAATCAAAATGTCTGGTTTGTGCCACTAAAACAGTTACCTCTGATAGGATTTCACACAAAGAGAACATAAAGCTGCTACAGGACTGCCAAAAAGCTGGTACAAGGGGATATTTCTTCAACATTGTCATCTATGTATAAATTGCCTTTTCACATTCAAATGCTTTCCCCCCTCCATCTAAAGATGGCCTGTTACAAGAGATGGGATACTCCATCTGGCCACAACCCCTCTGACCACATGAATGCCCCGCAGCACAGCAACATCAGCCCCTCCTTGGACTGCGCCAAGGCCCTGACTTGTTATCTGCTGATCTCTGCACACACTGAGGCCAGGCCAGCCAAAACTGTATGAGTTCCAGGGGAACACATGGCACTAATTTGAGGAAGGAGCTGGTGCACCTCCAGAGCCCCAAGTGAAGGAAATTGCACAGAGCAGCAGCAGCATGGAGTCCAGAAACGATGCTCCAGTGCCCAAGATGAACTATCCTTAAGAAGCCTGAACATATCTCCAAAGGAAAAGCGTGGCTAAATAACGCCTATTTGTGAATTAAGGTTAAACTACAGCATGTCAGCAGCTCTCTACACCTCACTCTCAAGCTTCAGAAATTATTTCAGGAACGACTATCGGCAAAGTAACCAAAAGTCTATTACACGCCATGATCTGCTTCCTTTGTTTTCACTTACATTATCTTTGCCTGTAACCTACTCTTGCACAGGCACCTTGCATTCAAACACCGGGCCCTGCTGAAAGGCGCTGTTCA